TATGGTTGTTGCTTTTCCAACTAGTCCAAATATAGAGTGTGTTTGGTAGGGATTTTTGGGGGAAGAATTGATTTTTGAATAGTGATATGATGGGAAATGTGTGGTTGAAAAAGAAGAAAAAGTATTGATGTGATGGAAAATATTATTTTATTGAAAAATGTGTGGTTGAAAATGAGAATTGATTTACTGTAGAAAATGAGAATCTGTACTAAACAGGCTCTAAGGGTCAAATAAATTTTCTTCACACAATTATTTAAGATCCCACATTTTTGGACACTTAGAATTTTATGAATTTTCTTTTCAAATAGTTTCATTATTAGATTCCCAAGTTAATGATTTGATTGTAATAAGTACAAAAAAATTATTTTCCTAATTTAATTTATTTACATCAAATCTATAGCAAACTAAAGTAATTAAATAAAAAAATATTATGAATAAAAAGTTTGTAAGTAATAATTAACAGCAAATTTTTCATATTAAAATTATCTTAATAAATTTAATTCATCGATAAAAATTTTGTCATTAAATAAATGAATAAAAAAAAATATTCCCTTCAAAAAGTTGTGAGAAATATAATTTAAGATAACAATTGGATTTTCATTTAGTAATAAAAAAATAAATATTCCCTTCAAAAAGTTTCTATTTTTTTATGCTCGAACCAAGCCTTGGCGAAAATTCGCACCGCTTTTCTTTCTTTTCCATTCTCGAACCCTAGACCTAAAATAGTACAATCTATACTAATTGCACACTACTTCTTGACTTTTTACAACATATCAACTTTAATCTTTTTTGTTCACAGAATAGCCAATTACATTAAATACTCAACAAACACCAATATTTATTTATAGATTTCAAACATCCCTACACGAAGTGGTTCCAACTCATAAAGAAAAGGTGCAATGTTTCACCAAGAAAACCATCAAAAAATTCAAAAAATTCAGCCAACGGTAGAATTTTATAACTATGCGACCGCATAGGCTGGCTGCATCTGAATTTCATGATCGTGCGCCTATGTGACCTCATGCATAAGAGGCCTATGCGGTCACATAAGACATTTTCATGGCGTCAATTTTTTCATTCATCCACTATTTATCCATCCACGATTTTGAACAACAAGATTCCAACACATACAAACAAGTACAGAACAAATTACAAAATAAAACCAAGAAAAAATGATCACTATCGACGAATCTAAGTTGAACACTTGAGGAAATATCATTGTAACAACCAAAAAGCAGAAATTTTGACAAATGGAATTGAGCATGCACAGCTATATTCAGGAAATGGCTCCAAAATTTCCAACAGCTTTCGCATGCTATAATTACACAACAAAGGTTCAAAACAAGTTCTGCTAATCTTCCAAAATTAGTTAATTATTTCTGCACAAGTGGCTCACCAAATTCTTCATTTTTGTCCATGGCCTTCTTCGCGAGCTCATAACCAGCAAAATTCACGGCACCTAATGGCCATTTCTTCAGCCGCTGCTTTTCTGTCTGAGACCAAAAGGGTCTGCTTCCACAAAGAAGAATATAAGCAATGATACCACAATTGGTGTTATTGCTTCTGTTCCATATGATCTATGCA